AAATTAATTTCTAGATTGAGATAATCTAGGATGAGATTTCTAGGTTGGGATAATTCTGGAACAGCCTGTTCTGATCCAGTGTTCTAAAACAATATTTAGATCTTTCCTTTGGTAGAACTCAATACATAAAATTGTGATTTCTTACAATGATCAAACAATGGAGATTTTTATTTTGTAAAAACATACAACTCAAACAACATGCCAAACAAATTCAAACATGAGAAATTACCTGTTCACTTAGATTTCTAATTAATACATTTTTCCCTTTCTTAATTGCGTGCATCTCTGTACAATCCCACATATAATACTTTGCTTTGAAATGCACAAGAACTTTTACTTTATGTTTTTCTTTCAGGAAGGAGAAAAAAAGAAATAGCCTTTAAGAGCTACCTTGTTCTCACATAAGAATATAAAATCTCTCACCCTGGTACACAATATGAAATCCTTGTTTGTTCTGTGAATAATCGCTGTGAAAGTACAAGCTTGTTTCATGAGTTGTGCTGAACAGAGAGGCAGGTAATTGAGGACCACTTAGTCTCCCAATAACAGTGCTTGTTTCTGTAGATCCACTCCTTACTTCTAAATAATCATGTATGGTCTCTGTTGAAAAATTCACAAATTGCAAATGGACACCTGAAAAAGATTGAACAAAAAAAAAGACATCAGTATCAATATCAGGAAGGAAAAATAAGGTATATATAAACTACATGCTAATGATGCCAGAAAATTAAACATGTGTTATGCTAGAGTAGATAGAGTCTGAAGGATTCAATATGAAACACTGTCCTTATAATTTTAAGAGGCTGTCAAGATAAGTAATGTGAATGCTGAGATACTCACTTGATGTAAGGCATTGAACTACAAGTTATTTATAATTAAATGCTATTTTTTGGCAAAAATGATTTTTCTGGTATTTTGGCTAACTTTAACTGCTGAATGTAAAACATATTCAATTTAATTAAAACTTTCCTCTTTTCAACTGCATACAATAGTCTTCTTTCCACTAAAAGAAAAATGCTTTATGTGCCATGAATGAGACAATGACTGAGTGACTACATCCGATCCCAGAGACAGTTGCATTTCGGGGGTACATAAATTGCCATCTATTAGTTTATATCTAGACATGAATATTTTTTAATACACATGTATATATATACACATGCATATAGAAAGCAAATTGTGAATATATATACACGTATATACACACATATATGCATATATATACATATATAATACTATGAAAATGAACCAAATTATACATACGATATGGATTATGCAATTATAAATATGTATTATTTGAGGCTTTCAAATAATGATGTTACCTAACCATCATTCATCAATGACTTTCACTAGAACTTAGACACACATTTATTTAATTCCCCTCACACTGTGGCATATATTATCCTTGTCAACAGAAATTTCTGATTATTTGACTCAGGAAATTATTTTCTTGGGAAAAGAAGCTTACTATCTAGTAGCAAGTTATCTCTTCTAACCAGATGATGAGTTACAATTATTACTTGACAGGAGAAGGAGGAAATGTTCATCAGCAGAGAAGATATAGGGTTCTTTAAACATTTTCTTTTAAACATTTCTGTTTAAAATGTTCTTTAAACATTTTTTTATTTGTCTCAAGTGAACTAGTGCTACTATGGAATGATAATGGAGCACTTTCATTAAAAAGATGATGAGCACTGTTGGTGCTTCTGGCAAAGATAATAAACAGGATTTCACGTAACACTGAAAGGAAAATGTATAATGTCAAATTAATTATTGAAAAGTCATGAATAATTTTGTAATAATTAAAAAAGCATGCCACTTAACCAGCATGCAAAGAAGGAACCCAAGCGCACATGCTCCTACACATGAACCAGAAGTCTTTTAGTTTTTTTAAAAAAGGGGAAAACCGCAGCTTGCAATAAAGATTTTGTAATGGTGTATACACAGAAACTTATAGAAAATCAACAAGTGGCCGGTGTGTTGTCAGGTCCTAAAGTACAGATGAAAAAATAGAAGTAATTATGACAGAGAAATGAGTGCAGTAGACTTAAGAAAAAGCATAAAAATCAAATGACATGCTAATTATCAATGTGAAAGGTAACATAGTATGGCTATAGACATAAAAATAGTCCAAGTTTTAGGACTATATGTAACCTGTCTGTTGAGCTTAGAAAAATCAAAGAGGCTACAAGTTCAGCATATGCAATAGTTAACAGAAAACTTCAATTACTGAAGTACAGATGAACTACATTTTTCTCATTAAAACTTATTTTTAGGGACAGTTAATAATTGTTTCTTAAAGTAAATGATCAGGGATCCTTCAAGAAAAGAGCATGTCTCTGATGGTTCAGAATCTGGCTTAAATGTTTTTGTCAAAAAGCTGCCCCACAACAGTGACCATAAGGGACTGAAATGCATCTGGCTGAGTCACTGCTAAAGAGGACCTGCCACCCATAGTAGACTTGATCTGGTGTCTGACAGTTTCACTTTGAGTGGGAAGATTGATGACCTTGATAGGGAGGCTTTCAGAGGTTCCTCAAAGAACATTTCTATGCTCTGATATTTACCTCAGAATTGCAAAGAAGCTTAAAGATAAAATAACTTAGTTACATGTATCTTTATTCTATCTGTAGTGAGAATATCTGCAGAAGATCCATATAGGAGCTGCGTAACTGGCAGAGGACGCGACAGCAGCCCCAGCGGGTGCTCCCTACACAATGTTCAAAATGCTTCTATGCTGTTTTGACAGCAATGCCTAGTTACTTTGCAATCAGTAGCTACATGAAGTTATCACAGCTGAGATACAGACACTGTTCTGGTAGATTAAAAATGCCTTTAGGATACAACGATTTGAGTCCTGCCTGGGTGTCCAACCTGTGCATCCAACAGCCTCCTATCAGTGGAGGTTCCACGCAGCTGGTTCCTGGGGTTTCCTCCACAGTCTGGAGTGAAAGTCCTTTCTTAAATCTATCTTGTTTAGCCCCTCAGGAACATGAGCATCTATCTACACCAATATTCAGCCTTCTCTTTCCTACCTTGCAGTCATACTGTTCTGAACAGATACTGCCTTGGGTTAAGATATTTTATTTTTGTTGGATTTATAACCTTGCTGAGAGAAATCAAGTCTGTTCAGCTAGAAAATCATGCTTAATACTAATTTAATAATTCTATCTTTATCAGAAAATTGCACTATGTCTTAAATAAAAAGCAGGCTTTTCTCCCCTATGTCTTTCATTTCTGGCATTGATAAACCCTTCAAATGATTTAAAATTATTTTGACCAGGTATAATATTTACAATATTTTAAAATCTATGTTCGGTGTTTGAAGCTAAAAAAGAAGTAAAAATAATCCATAAAAGAGCACATACCAAAGCCAATCGGAAGCCTTATTGTCCATGTGCAATCCAAACTGCTGGGATAGTTGCCAGGAAACCCAGGGCTAAGGATCACTCCACTGAAGTCTGACATGGCACCACCACATTGTGCTGCAAAAACCATATTTTTAAAGAAATAAAAAGGAGCTAAAACTTAATCCAGAAATCTGGGACCATTTTGCAATTAATTCCATAATTATATCAATGTTTATATTTGAAAAATATATGTAGTCATTCTTCGATCACTAAATATCTGTAATAAACTAATTTACAAATAAGTACTGTAAAAATGTTTTCATTTGGGGGACACATGCTCCTGAAAATAAAACAGATGTTCATTCTGCACTCTGTCTGCATGAAACTTTGTTGCAATCAGGTAAGTGGTACCCATCAGGTTATAGTCACATTGACACAATTAGTCATGGGCTTATAAAGGAATATCTAAGCAATATAAAGTATTAAACATTCAAACACTGTGCTCTCTGAACATTTCAAGAGGTCTTTAACAATGTTGAATTCATATCCTCCCCTGATTTAAAAAGGAAATAAAGAGACTTAGAAAACGTACATGTATATGCACAAACAGTTTTGGGAGATTATTTTCTATTTTATCAGGCATGAGGTTGTTCATGTAAGTAAATTCCACTTCAGTGTTAGATTTGAAAACATCTTTAAAAAGATCAAGATAGTAATTACGGTAAATAAAATTTTTTAAACTTAAAATCTTATTTATTTATTTGGCAGTTGCTATATCCTTTTAAATACAATTATTAATTGAGGGAATGCAGAAAAGGCAAGGCAAAGCAAAGGGAGCTCAGCACCTCACAGGAGGCATTTACTTCACTGAATTAAGAGCAGGATTTTTAATGGCAGTCATGGAGATACAGTAAGTGCCTCAAAAAAAAAAAAAAAAGCAAAGTGTAAAATCTCTAATGAGATCTGCAGCATCTTGTTTTCTCTACATTCAGATTACAAATAAAGATAACTTTTATTATTATAGGAAACACCACCACTAATGTCATTTCTATTCAGTCAAAAGAGGATGCAGATAGAGAGTTTTATGCCCCTCACATTTATTCTTCATATAAAAGGAATATGTTTGAATGCATTTTAGATGTTTCAGTTGGACTTACAGCAGGCTTCTAAGGGCTTCTTCTGTTAATATCAATATAGTCACTTAAACGGTTTGAGAGATGAAATGCGTTGTTAAATAGGTAGACATGTTTTACACTGAAATCTTCAGAGCTGAGAATGTAATGTTCCTTCTATTTTAGTATTTTATATAGCATTTACTACTCTGCTATGGAAATGACTTGTAAATAAATTAGCTATGTTTGTAAGGGTCTCTGGAGGTCACATTGTATAGGAGATTCAGCCTGGAATCTATTTCATTCATTTTTCTGACTAGGCACTTCAGAAAAGCTTTGCCAAAATAAGGGTTAGTATAGTCTGAAAATCTTCGGCCTAATCTGGCCATATTCACCTTTAAGTAAGTCCTTTCAAATATATCTGCTCCTTCCCCTACATATATCTCTTATTTTTGAGTTGACCTGACTTGAACATTCCAAAATATTTAGGTAAATTTATGTTTGATGAACATACCTAGACATATTGGAATTGGATAATTCCATCTTCTTACTGGTCCAGGCATACAGGTGATGTGTGAATGTCCCTAAAATGACACAATATTTAGCAATAATACAATAAAATATGAAGTATATGCTGCGTTATTAGTAGCTCAATAAAAAATGTTTAGTGATAATCCAGAATAGAATCAAAATATATATGAAAAAAGCAATAAGGTATAACATCTCTATTGTACCTCTGTGATTTGTGCAATCTATGCATTTACATGATCTATGTACCGCTTTTTATATTTTCTTTATTTATATTAAGCCTAAGACTAAAATTCCATAGTCATTGTCAGAACTGCAATCACAGAATACTTTGGTTATCCTTGCAATGCTAAAGCAGGAGTAGGAACCCTGTACTGAATGGAAAACAGGAATACAGCTTCCAGAGTCACAGATGTAATCATGCTAAAGAACTATAGGCACCATTTAAAACTGGAAACTGGCTCACCTGTAGAGAATAACCCTGATCACACTGGAAAGACACCACATCTCCAACCATGTATCTGTCTCCAATTTTGATTCCATTGCTTGGGGTCTGTGGTTCGGGACAAGAGTCCAGACCTATAGCTGTGAAAAATTGGGAAGATTAGACTATCTAAGAAAGAATTAGACAATCTAAGGAATATATAATCTGTTTTTGCATTCACATTACTTCTGTGCATATTGTCTGTGGGCACACTCTATTGATATATTTTAGGAAGCTCCTGGGCACCAGCAGTTTGTCTGTGGACAAAAAAGTTACATACTATGTTAGAACAAAGAAGAAAGCTTTCTTTGCTGAGCAAAGGAAGGAGAAAGAAACAAATGGAGAGGCAGCAAATATTTCCCAGCAACTTGTGATCTCAATGCAGCCTTGTTTAATAGTTTTTCTGTCTTCTGACTCAGACTCATGTAGTTCCAGTTTCAGTCTCATGCCAAACCTCTGCCTAATTCAAACTGGGAGCACGTTCCCTTCCCAGGGTGTTACACAGTGTGAAGGAGAACATTGGCCAATACTCCACCAAACACAAAACTCAAGAAAACAAGTGCAAAGTATGTAGGACTGTCCACCTGCATTGAGTTCTTCTCAGGTCTACCTCTGCTTTTTCATTCCTTTACATGCAAACAGAAAATTTATATCTAAATCTCACCTAATCTGCCATTTTAGCACAGTATATATAAAACTTCAACCCAGATATTTCTAATTCCTGAGCATGATAGAAATTAGTTTGGCAAGAGACTGTATGTTTCTTTTCATGCTCATCAGAAGGATAAATAAAAAAAAAATCTTCACTGCATCTACATAGGAAGATCCAGGAACATAAGATTGTGCGTAACATTAAGCATAAGCAGTCCTCTTATTCTGCTTACATGCTGTAAGAACTGCACCCAGATTACTTGTGAGGCCAGGATTAGTAAGCAATTAAATATATAGCTACGTAGGACAATAGGAACATGTGGAATTCCATAATGTTACTAAATGACCATATTATTAAGTAGTGCATGTTTGAAAACTTGCTAAAGTAACTGTCCACTTAATTTAAGAATCTCATTAAATAAAACCTACTATTTAAAGAATCTTTTACAAAGATGCATTTTTATAATATATGAAAGCTGAAATCTTAAGGATTTATAATGCATGCTCTATAAACCATATTTTGTAGATTACCAGCAATTTTCATTAGTCCTAATTTCTAATAGTATTATACTGTGAAAACATAAAAAAAATCTAATTCGAATGTCTGGCAATTCCAAAATTAAATATTAGATATTTTAGTTAATAATTGCTCTCCATAAAAACATTTCAAACATACAAAATTTTGTATAAAACTATATTAATAAATAATATAATATATATTATAAATAATATAATTAATGTAAGCCCCACTATAAAACATAATTCTGATTACTAACAATTAATTACACATTTTGATGAGAAAATTACTGTACCCTAATTCTCCCTAAGACCTTTTTGGCAAAAATAGTGATAAAATATACTAAATTTGCAGGCAGTGCAAGCTCTATTTTTATAACACTCATGTCATATAAAACGAATTGGAGACATTATGCGTCATTCTCTGTAGCAGATTCTTTGGATTTCGTTTATTTAAAAGCACACAAAAAATAACACTTAGACAGTAATGAATGAAATTATTGGTGCCACTGTCTTCAAAAATGATGACTTTCAAGTGTTCATTGTAAATTAAAAATAGCACTGGAAGTAGAACACATAAGGTCACAGCTACCTTTGCAGTTCATCTCATTTCCAGTCTCATAATCATATTGAATTTAAAAATAAAATACCTTATCACTAGAAATCATTGAAATATAAACTGGAATATTATGATGGTGAAAAAGAGTTGAATGAACTCAAAATGAGGACTACCACAAGTCAATATCATAAGCACAGCTTGTCTCAGAGGCTTTTCACCTTACTGCCGCAATGTGAGCTAGGTATAGTTAAGTTTAGGATAAAAAGTTTAGATTAGTTTTTTATAATACTTTCAACAATAAAGAATCTAGGTGCATAAGTACTTTCCAAAGTTGGGATAGATGATATTTAATTTCCCTCCCACATGAGCATGTGAATATACCTTTTTTTCCGCGTCCTGCAAAGTGAAATGAGGTAGTTTAAATATCAGAACTGGTAACTTGGCTCACACTATATCATGGATATTCATTCTATTGTGTTCTCACCTCAGCTGATCAAGTGTTTGGCAAAAAATACACTTTGAATGTGTCAAATGACTTACAAGAAACCAAAGCATAATATGGATCTTCGCAGCTGAGTTAGTTAGAAAAGTAGGAAGAACTTTTTTCTCCCAGATTACCATAGTAGTAATTCTAGGGAAATCAAATGTATCTACAAACTGCATTCTATTTCTTACTGACTATTGTTAGTGCATGACCAGTTCCTTGAATCACATTATATTGCCTTAATATAATGTTTTAGATTTTTAAAATTTAACAAACAGTTGCATTGGGAAAAAGAGACTTTAACATAACTATTAATAGAAAACATTTTTTATGTATCTTCTCATTTTTAAATACTTTCTAAAATCAAACAAAACAAAAACCAGAACTGTATGTAAGCAAAAAAAAAAAAAAAGAAATAAGAAGCAGTTTGATGCTATTACCCTCTTCTCCAGCAGTTCCTGTAACTCTAAATACGGAAAGCTACAAATGAAATTTTGAATAATACAAGATTTGGCCACATAAGTCTTAACACAACATAACTTCTTAATTTTTAAATCCACTGCCTTAATATTACGGATTTTTTTTTTTTACTATTTATGTTTTTATGTTAAAATTACACAGTTTAAATGCATAAACTTCCAGAAGGTGTATTTTAAAATGAGCAGAATAAACATGTCTTTATTAATTTTAAATTGGTATTGAATATTATAGAAATTATGTAAGAGGCAATCAGACAGGAATTCAAGCAACTTCAGAGGAAGTATTATTCATATACCACAAACAATTAGAATCATAGGAAAGAATCATAGAATCATTAAGGTTGGAAGAGACCTCTAGTCCAATCCCCCTGCACACGCAGGGTCACCTAGAGCACGTGGCACAGGACTGCATCCAAGTTGGCTTTGAAGATCTCCAGAGAAGGAGACTCCACAACCTCTCTGGGCAACCTGTTCCTGTGCTCTGCCACCCTCACTGTTAAGAAATTTTTCCTTAAGTTCCTGTGGAACTTTTGGTGCTTCAGTTTGTGGCCATTACCTCTAGTTCTGTCGGTGGCCATCACTGAGAAGAGACCAGCACCATCCTCCTCACTGCCGCCCTCGACGTACATATAGACACTGATCAGATCCCCTCTCAGCCTTCTCTTCTCCAGGCTGAACAGGCCCAGCTCCCTCAGTCTCTCCTCATAGGGCAGATGATCATCAGGCCCCCTGATCATCCTTGCGGCCCTGTGCTGGACTCCCTCCAGTTACTAATTACCAGTAATTACTCTCCAGTTTACTAATTACCTAATTAGTAAAACATTGCATATAGAAAAATGTGGAATAAATTTAAGATCTATAGTGGCTTAAAACACACAAATATCATTTAACTATTTAACAAAGCTTTTTGTGGTGCTGTTTGTTGTGGTACTTCAGATGATTAAATACCTTTTCCTAGTTAAGGTGATTAGAATACATGAGTTTATTATACTAATATAATACCATATATTATAAGTTTATTGGAATACATTCTCTAGATGTTATGAATGAAGCATGAAATTAAGAATTCATCATAAAAGTGACAATATGATACAAAAAGGATTATTGTTATGACCACTACTCAGCTTTAGAGTACAAATACTTAATTCCTTTATATCTAGGCATCATTTACTTGGCACTAAATGAAAAAAACAAAGCCCATTTTTGTCGTTTTTATGAAAAAGCACATTTGGATTTCTTAACAGTGAAAAAGATGAAGCAGGCTGGACAACATGAAAACCTACTAATAAAGGATAAAAAGAGATACTGGAGATGAAACAGAATGAAAACTTCATAAAGAAAATCCTTGTTGCGATGAGAAAGTAATAAATTTAGAAAGAGGGTCACATTTCTAGAATTTGTGAGCTAAACAAAAATATCTCTCCCTAACTCACTCGCCATTTGTTTAATTTGAATATTTAACTCTGATATGATTTTCAGTGAAGAATCACACACTGATACTTCAAAGAGTAGGATTTTAATGTATCTGACCTCTGATGATTTCTGTCAGTAGAGGCTCAGATGAAACACAATATGTGTGTGAAACATTGGTATTAAAATGGAGTTTCTACTCTTAATTTACTAAGAGTCCAGTGGAGTCCAGTTCTGGGCTCCACAGTACAAGAGGGATGTGGAGCTGCTGGAGAGACATACATATTTTTACATATTTTTACATATTTTTCATAACAAAAAAGCATTCACACACGTACCCATGCACACACATGCATATATATCTGTAGCACTTCAAGTGGACCACTATACACTTCAATTAATTTGGACATATAGAAATATACAAATGCCTTTTTACTTTCATTGGTTAAGTATAATTTTATTTTTTTTTCATAACTTTCTACATTTTTCACTCTGTATTTTCACATCTGTATTTCAAGGAAATAGGAGGAAAACTTTAAGCTATAGTGCATGCTTAGTGATCATGTAGCCATTTTGCAAGGCTTTGTTCTTCAGCTGACTAATCAGACAACTACAGCATGGGATTTGCACACTGTAAAACTGACAAGAAATAACCATTAAATAATTATGCAGCTCAGACACCTGAACCAAAATAAGCAGAGGGAATTGCACAGCTGGGGAAAAAAAATCTATAACAAAGTATCAGTGACTGTCAGAATTCCTGTCAATAAAGTATGTTTATAATTATAGCCTTTTCTGTTGAAACTAAAATAATAGTTTATTAATTTAATTAGTTATTAATTTAATAGTTTATTAATAGTAATATTAATAATAATAATAATAAATTATTTCAATTTACTGAGTCCTGCCATGTTCTTACCACCATGTAAGCATTATTCAGTTTGTTAAGAAAATAAAAATAACTAATACTTTCAGCTTATTCATTCTTATTTTCTTTGAGAGTAATTAATTTCATGTCTTATGCATGCTTAAAATATCTTATTTTGTAGATTATACAAGTATATTTCACTATATTTTGGCACTAGGATTTTCACTTGAACATATCAGCATCTGAACATGCTGGAGCATTCTGGCTCCAGCATGTTCAGAAAATCTTTAAGGACAGCAAAAACAAATTAGAGACCAAGATGAGCTAAAGTTATCAATCCTTCCAATACAGATTTCAGGCCTGATCTTGCTCGCTTGGAATTAAATGAGGATTTTACTAATGACTTTAAAGTGACAATATTTACCAGTAGGACTTAATATTCATCTTCCATCTCACTTAAATTCACTTGCGGTCTGCAAACATAAAGCTCTTTTAGTTCATTGGGCATTTCTACATTACCTGTGTACTCAAGATGAAACCCAGCAGCTGAAACACTAATGTCAGACTGAAAGTTTAGGTACAAATTGTTTGACGTGCTGTTGAGAAGTGGAGGTATGGTTGTCCCTAGAAAGAGAAAATAAAATATTAATTACTGAAATGCACAGAAACTAAAATACACATATAAATGTGCATTTCACATTAGGTATATATGTGAAAAAAAGAGAAAGAATGACAGTAAGACAGAGTGCGAGAGAAAGAGAAGTCATGTAACCAATTCCACAATATTTTGTCATCTTGGCTGCTGTGAATTATCTGTTTATATGTGTATCTGTAAGAATTTTGTTACATTTTCGGTGTACCACAATATCAGATGGACGAATTGTAGGCATTAAGGGAAGAAGAGTCTTAAGTAAATTTATAACATCTACTTTCATCAACAAGGGAGAAATAAATCAAAAGCAAGAATAAATCTGGTCTGACTTTAAAAGTTCCACTCAAACATATCAAGTTGCTTTGAACATATTCTGTAGCACTATTGCTAGAAATACAAGCAATTCCGTATTTGTGATTTCAGCAAAGTGCTAATGAGATATTTTGAAGGGCAAGACAGCAATCTTAAATGGTCATACTCTGCACAATTGAATGTAAAGGGAATTAAAAAAAAAAGGCAAACAGAATTGTCGTGATTAACTAAAATATGGATAAAGAAGGCAACCATTAGTCATACATAAGGTCATGAATCATCTGCTTTAGCAGCCTGAGTTTCTGGACTCTGCTATAAGAGCAGAGGAAGGTGAATCCTGACATTAATAAAAGATGATGTCCAGGATATCATGTCTGTAGTTTGGAAACCTCTCCTTGTTATTTTTTTCTTTTTCTCTTTTTAACGAAAATCTACTGGAAGATGACTATTTACTAAAATTCTACTACTACATTCTATTACTACGATATTACCTGTTGTTAATTATGGGAGAAATAAACACAGAAAAAAAAATCTAGAAGGAGTTATGCGTCTACAAAGAAGACTTATACTTCTGAAACATTTATTGTAAAATCTTCTCAGTCACCTGAATAACTTCCAAGCCTTGGAGCATTGTTGTCAGCACCATCATAAAAGTCTAAAGAATCCCAGTTGTGTTCTGTAGCAAAACTCACCACTTGCACCTATGAAGAAAATATGAGGTAAAGAAAAGAAGTTTCTTTTTCTCTATTCAGCACAAAGAAAGATTGCAAATTGTAGCCTCTCTTGTTTTTGGTCACAAAAAGCTGAGGGATTTTTTTGTTTGTTTGTTTGTTTTGCTGTCGTTTTCAAAGAAAATGAAAAATAAACCACTGAATAAAATTTCATTCTAACTTTTTTTTTTAAAAAAACAAGTCATTTCAGACTTCTAAATTCCATGAGCCTTAGACATAATTATGTATTACCTATGGTTCTCTCATTTGGAGGGCATTGAGTGAAAAACAAGATACAAGATCATTAATTAATGCATTCTTTTGATGATTCTCACTAGTTTATCCCTAGCTATAACAGTATGATTCAATTTTCTTCTTCTATCTTGCCATGTTCAATCCTGCCTTTTAGCAAGAGCAGCCTCCTGTATTTGGTGACCTTCATCATTGACTCTTGTCCTGAGGAGAAAAAGTCACTTCACAGAATCACAGAATAACAGAATCACAGAATGGTTATGGTTGAAAGGGACCTCCAGAGATCATCTAGTCTAATTGCCCCTGCTCCAGCAGGGACACCTAGAGCACGTGGCGCAGGGTCACATCCAGGCAGGTTTTGAAGATCTCCAGAGAAGGAGACTCTCACACATCATCTCTGGGCAGCCTGTTCAAGGGCTCTGGCACCCTCTCAGTAAGGAAGTTCTTCCTTACATGAAGATGGAACATCCTGGGTTTCAACTTGTACCCATTACCCCTTGTCCTATCATTGGCCACCACAGAGATGAGTTTGGCCCTATCCTCCCTACATTCGCCCCTCAGGTACTTATACACACGGGTCAGGTCTCCTCTCAATCTTCTCTAGGCTAAACAGGCCCAGTTTACTTAGTATTTCCTCATAATATAGATGCTCCAGTCCCTTAATCATATTCGTGGCCCTGCTCTGGACACTCTTTAGAAGCTCCACATCCCTCTTGTACTGAGGAGCCCAGAACTGCACCTAGAACTGTGTCCTCCCAAGAGCTGAGTAGAGGGGCAGGATGCCCTCCCTTGACCTGATGGCAACACTCCTCCTGATGCAGGCCAGGATCCCATTGGCTGCCTTGGCCATGAGGGCATATTGCTGACTCATGGTTAACTTCTTGTCAACCAGGAATCCCAATTCTATTTCTGTCAAGCTGCTTGCCAGCAGGTCAACTCCTAATCTGTACTGGTGTCATAGAATCATAGAATCAAAGAATGCTTAAGGTTGGAAGGGACCTCTAGAGATCACATAGTCCAACCACCCTGCACACTCAGGGTCACCTAGAGCACGTGGCATAGGACTGCATCCAAAGCGGGTTTGGAAGATCTCCAGAGAAGGAGACTCCACAACCTCCCTGGGCAGCCTGTTCCAGTGCTCTGTCATCCTCACTGTTAA